CGCCAGGACCAGAGCCTAAAGGGGAGGAACGCCGAGGTGGAGACTTGGCGGAGGTAAAACGGGGGATGCTGTGCGGGCGGTTCGCGGAGAAGGCAGGGCGCATCGGAGAGATGGCAGCGAGGTGGGGCGTGAAGGCTCCAGAAGCCCCACAGGCCCAGAACCCGGGTTCCAAAACCCAGGCTTGCGGGTATTCGCAACAGAAGGGAACCGCAACAGAAGGGAAGTGAGAACCGGGAAAGGGGTGTGGTAGACGGTCAGAACAGGATTGTAGCTGCCGAGAGGGGGGATTGAACCTGGGGGGATGGAGAAGGACCAGGAAAGGCCCATCCTCGAGAAGCCTGGGCTGCAAAGGGGAAGGCCGTATCTTTTGTGACTCAGTTTTCTTTTCCCCAGTCCAGGTCACCTCTGACCCTGTTTTCCTAATCCCAGTCCTCGTCACTTCGTGAAGGGGGCACTGGGGTTCGGCAGTGCGGGTCCTCCTAACACTGAGAAGAAGGGCAGGAACACTAGAAGGGAGAATTGGAAAGGTTGGGAGGTTGGGAAAGAAGAGAGAATTGGGCAATCCTGTAAGCATTCCAAGGAATCGTGACCTCCACCCTCATCCCCAAAGCATTGGCTGCCCCGCAGCTGGGCTCTATCTGGGAGGCCTTCATTACTGCTTTGATCTCAGAGATCTCCCTTTGTGCCTGGGGCAGGTTACCCTAACGCTCCTTCCCTGAGGGTACTGTAAGAAGATCGGAGTTGCTTTGGCAACTGAGGTGGTAATAGTGGCTGCCAGCTGGACCCCTGGGATGGTCTCTTGAGGGGCACCTTTTTTCACCCATTTTGTTGCCATGACAGTGATCCAGTGGGAAGTCTTACAGGTGGGGGTTCAGTATGTAGATTGGGTCTCAGCCTGTAGCTATGTCCTAGGGGTTCTGGGAGATGTTTCTGGTGTTGCCCAAGTAGGGGTTTCCTAGTCTGTTGGAACAGGTAGCCCTGTTGCTTGCAGGTCATTCTTGCAAGCCTTTACCTGGGTATGGTGGGCAGATGAAAATACTGTTATTCAAAGTATATGGTCTTGGGCTGGGGGGGTGGCTCAGTGGTAGTGTTATTTCCTAATATATATACATACATAGGTTCTGGGTTCTTGAGCTCCAGGAAGAAACAAAATAAAAAATCAAAATTGTATCATCCTGGGAAGTTTCTTTTGGCCTCTACCACCCTTATGTTTTGTAAATGTTGGTTCTTTGCACTGCTTTATTTTCTTGAAGTCCTCTTTGGATCTCTCTTCTCCTGTCCATTCCCAGAGTGACCCCTTCATTCAACTAACCTTTGGCCTTTTACTTTCCTGAACTTATAGAAACAGCATGGTTCTCCATGCCTGTCTCAGGTGAGGGTGGCCCAGGGGAGAGAGCTATGGAACAGCCTTGAGCAGAACAGGATTCTCAGGAACGGGAGTCGGGAGACCAGGGTGTACTCCAGCTGTACCTCTGTGACCTTGGGCGAGTCACTTCTCTTGTCTTTGAGCTTCACCTTCATTGTGTGGTGAAATGGCCTCTGTGGCTCCCTCAGTAGTCCTGGGTTCTAACAAGACTTAAGTAACTGCATTATCTACTGTCTGTGCTTCATAGATAGCTCAGTCATTTTCAACTGATTGTTAGTTGGCAGGCAGGTCTGGAACGATGGAGGCTAGTCAGTGACCCTGAAATAAATATACTCTGTAAGCTCTTGCCAGGAAGCCTGTGACGTGGTCATTTTCTGACATTCTTGTCATATTTGTTCCTTAATTTCTTTCTTTGAAAACAATTTAATTACATTTATTTATTTTGGGCATGTGCCCTGGTGCACATGTGGAGGTCAGAAGGTAACTTGGTGTTGAGTTTCAGGTTCTCTTCTTCCATTATGTGGGTCCCATGGTTTGACTCAGGTCATTGGTTTGGTAGTAATCTCTGTTTTTATTTTTTGGTCTTTGAGATGGTCTTCTATAGCCCAGGCTGGCTTGGCTTGAACTCACTACACAAGATGACCTTGAACTTGAGATCTCCTTGCCTCTACCTCTGAAGTCCTGAGATTGCAGGCATGGGCCACACCCTGTTTTAAGGGGTGCTGGGATCTAACCCAGGGCTTCATTCATGTTAAGCCGGCTGATCTAACCACTGATCTGCGTTCCTCTGCTTACTTAGGGACTCTAACGATTTCTTGTTTCCTTGCCTTCTGAGTTCTGTCTTCCTTGCTTTGCTTTTGCAATAATGTAATGGAGGCAACCGTGTGCTGTTGTACATGGTAGATGCTGAGTAAGAATTAATTAGCAACAGCCTTCTAGGCAGGATGGAGTACCACTTGGTCAGTCTGATGTTAGAGTACCACCCAAGTTCAGACTTAACCTATGATCCCACCTCAGTCTCAATCCATCCCTACCTCTGCCACTCCTTATCCCAGGAATTACTGCCCTGTTGATGCTGGTTTTCTCTTTCAAAGCTACTCATTGCAAATTCTATCAGATTTCAGCTGATTTTAAAAGGTAAGGAGGGCACATAGTGATTGCTCTTTTCTCCAAGGAACTTTGGTGTATTTTTTGACCTTTTGGATCCTTTAGGATCCAAACTGACTTGGTAAACAAGTTCTGTGATGGGAGGAAATGGGCACCCTGTTCTTGGAGGGCTGACAGATACCAGCCACAGGTAGTATTCTCTGTTGTCATTGTTGTTAGCATTATTTTCTCCTTTTCTTCTGTTTGGTATTGTTCTTTGGACATTTTGTGTATCCCCCCCCCTTTTTTCCATTTGTAGTTTTATTTTTGGAGACAGGATTTCATGAAACTGGCTGGTCTTGAACTTGCTATTTGTGGAGAGTGGCTGGTCCTCCTGCCTTTACCTCCCAAGTGATGGAATTACAGATGTTTGTCACCATGCCTAGTAATACATAGTATTTTAAAACCAATCCACAAAACAACTTTTAAAAAATGTGGTTTTAGCTGTAGTTGTAGTAAACTGGTTTACTGGGCAAAAACATCAGTTGAAAGTTTAGACTTGGGGCTCTGTCCCATCTATTTTGTGTCCCTTAAGTATAAGTTACTAAGTTTCCTGGAAATGTTAGACTCATTCCTCATTGCCTGCCTCAGAATAGGTCAGTGGGATTGGGCAAAAAGTCAGTACTCTGTATTCTTTGGAGAAAATACATGTAGAAATGTTATTTCCCTGCACCTCCCAACTCAGCATGGGTGGGTAAGGTTAGTCTGTTCTTACCAGGGTTAAGTTCAGTTAATCAAAGTCCCTGCCGAGCCTGGGGTTTGCCTGAAATTCCAGCGCTTGAGACCCACCGCAAAACGAAACGAAACAATAGCTAGATGGACCAGTGACATTCACTTGGTTTAAAGGTCATTGTCAACAGTACACTTGGCTGGGTGAGGTGCTCACTCACTCAGTGCCAGGAAGCTGAGACAGAAGGCTCCTGAGTTTAGTTTAAGGCTGGTATAGGGTGCATAGTGTGACTCTGTCTCAAATAAGGACAACAACAGACCCCATATGTGTGTGCATAACATCAGTAGAAAATATAAAAAGGAAAACTATAACAATAGCATTTTTTTTGCTCTTTAAGTATCTTACAGGCTGGGCATAGTGACATACACTTTTCAGGCAGAGGCAAGCAGATCTTTGTGAGTTCAAGGCCAGCCTGGTCTACATGGCGAAACCCTATCTGAGACAGAGAGATAGAGACACAGACAAGAGAAAAGGGCTGGAGAGGTGGCTCAGTGGTTCAGAGTACTTGAGTCTCATGCAGAAGACCCAGGTTTTATTGTCAGCACCCACATTAACCCTAGTTCCAGGGTATCTGTTGTCCTCTTCTGACCTCCACAGGGACCAGACACATGATACTGAATGTATATTCAGGCAGAACATTTATATGTAGAAAATTAAATTAAAAAAAAATTATGGGTAGTATTATGGAGTGGTTTGACTCTTAGCAAGAAACATAAACAAGTACAGGGCTAGAAATACAATCCAGTGTACTTGACTGTCATGCTTGAGACCCTGGGTTCAGTGCAGAGCACCAAGGAAGCTTATAATCCTAGCACCCTGGAGTGTGAAGTGTATGAAGGCTGGAGATCACAAGTTGAAGTACAGATGAAAATGTCTGGCTATGGATGCATGGGTAGATGACGATATCCATGTTTGTACTGCTAGATACAGGTAGATAGGCTGTAATTACGGTTCCAGGAGATCTGACGCCCTCACACAGACATGAATGCAGACAGAACATCAATGTATATAAAATAAAATCTAAAAAATATTTTGAAGCTGGGCATTGGTGGCGCACGCCTTTAATCCCAGCACTTGGGAGGCAGAGGCAGGTGGATCTCTGAGAGTTCAAGACCAGCCTGGTCTATCAGAGCTAGTTTCAGGACAGCCTCCAAAGCCACAGAGAAACCCTGTCTCAAAAAGCAGAAAAAAGAAAAAACAATTTGAGTTGGGCTGGTGAGATGAGTAGAGGCATTTACCACAAAGCCTGACAACTGGATTTGATCCCTGGGTCCCACAGAGTGAGAGGGAAGGACTGACTCACAGGTTATCCTCTGACCTCCACGAGAACATCATAGCCCATGCATACCCTTCCCTCAATCAGTCAGCCGTGTATTTTGAGTCTGGTGTCTGTGAAAACTTTGACTTTTCTTTTAAGCACAGGAAGCACCAATACAGCCATTGCTTGACATCTGGGGACTTGTTCTAGTGCCCTCCATAGACACCAAAATTAACCCATACTCAAGTCCCTTGTATAGAATGGTGCTGTTTACATCTGCACACACTCTTCCATGTTTTTACACCTGTAGATCACGTGCAGCAACCAATTCTATGTAAATATTTGATAAGATCTCCCTATTTAAAGCCGAGGTTACATGCCACACAAGAGAAGGTGAACAGTGAAAGCTAGAGAGGGACCTAGGGCTTGTGAAAAGGTGGGATGCTACAGCAGGTTGTGTCCACCTGTCATCCTTGTAGATTGAACCAGGGGGTGACAATGTAACAGATCCAAATTTTGTTTGGAACTTTGTGGAAGTTTTCCTCCCAGATATTGTCAGTGCAGGGTGGCTGAATCTCTGAACAAAAACCCTGCAAGTGGAAAAGGCCAACGACTAGAGGCCAACGACCCTTATGAGGCTGTCTAGAATGTTCTGCAGGCTTGAAGACACCTGGATTTGGGGTTGTAGCTGGTGAGGCCATGCTGCTCAGTATTGTAGAATGGGACATTCTTCTATTGTCTGATGTCAAACAAGGTTGTTATCTGTGCCTGATCTAGGCTTCTGAGAATTCTCTCCAACTTCTGAGGAGTGTTTAGAAGAGTGTGCGTGTGAGCATGGCCTTTGAAGTCAGATTGCACAGGGCTTGGTTCTGACGTCATTGTTGGTTCTTCCCCATGGAAGGTGGGGGCAGGTCACAGCCACAATCTTTGAGCCTCAGTTCCCTTGCTTATAATCCCACATTAGAGTGTGCTGGGAGATGTTACAGGAAATTGTATGTGAAGGGCTTAACACAAAGAAGAAAGTCAGTAAACTAACACTTCAGCCTCCTTTCTTTGTGCTTCTTTTGAATTTCGAAGGCTCTGAAATTAATGAGTGTGTGAATTTTTTGCTGTTGTTTTTTTTTTGGGGGGGGCAGGAGTTTGCTATCTATTTCAGGCTGACTTTGAACACGTGATAGCCTTCTGAATGCTAGTACTACAGGCATCCACCACCACACCAGGCCACAGATACTCTTTAGGGCTTGTAAAGGGTAAAATCCTGCTGTATGTTAAGTTGGGGTTCATAGGTACATCGAGTTTTCTGCCTTCCCTAGAGATGAAGGAGATTATATTGTGAGAGTCTATCACTTAGCTGATGCAGCTTATGGAGCAAGCCACAGGCTCTTGTGTCTGTGCCTCTTGACCCAACTGTGCTTCTTACTCAGGCCCCTGCTGTTTCTGCTACAATATGATGGTTTTTCCTAGCAGATTTCACTGAGAACACCCTTTGAGTACCACGTGCCTACACTGCTTCCAGCTTCCTAAACCACAGCTGTGGGGAGCTTGGGGTACAGCTAACAAGATTCTGTATTCAGCTGCCCAGGCAGAGGAGAATGGGGTCTCCACAGCCTGAAGAATGAAGACACGACAGAATAAAGACTCAGTGAGTAGAAGCTATAGTAAGCAGTATGGCAGGTCAAGGGCAGGGGCAGGGGCAGGGCAGCTGGGAGGAAGGGACTAAAGTGGAGAACTGAAACAGAGGATAGCCTAAAGGTAGGTGTAAAGTGAAGCACTGTCCACCTGCATCCTGCTCTCAGATGTCAATGAGGAGTGGACGGAAGAAAGAGGCCCCCGGGCCCCGGGAAGAGCTGAGATCAAGGGGCCGGGCCTCCCCTGGAGGGGTCAGCACATCCAGCAGTGATGGCAAAGCTGAGAAGTCCAGGCAGACAGCCAAGGTATTCCTCCCCTGACCCCACAGAATGCCACAGCACTGCAGCTGAACGGGTATTTGAGGGGTGGTGGGCTTCAAGTCGGAAGATAAGCATGTTTTCTTTCTCCCTAACAGAAGGCCCGAGTAGAGGAAACCTCTACTCCAAAGGCCAGCAAGCAAGGCCGCAGTGAGGAGGTCTCAGAGAGTGAAAGCGAGGAGACCAGTGCACCCAAAAAGACCAAAACTGAGGTGAGAGATCTTGTGGCTACTGTGACCTGTTTCTGACTGTTCTTTTTCTAAACTTCTTTGGTGCACCATTCCGACTTTGGTCTCTGCTTAGATATAAAAGTCCTCTTTGGTGCTTATTTGGAGTGGTCTTGTCTATAATATGGTAGACAGACAGCTCGTGAGACTTTAGTTGAACAGTAAGTGACGAGGCAGGGCCAAAGGGTACTGGAAGGATCGGGAAGGGTATTATAGCCTCCTTTGTGGAAGGGGCAAGTCAGTTACAAGGAGGATGCAGAAAAGGGGCTGGTAATGGAGCTCACTAGGTAGAGTGCTTGGCTGGTACCTAGTGCGGAGTCCAAGCACTTAATAAAATATAAAAGCGGGCCATGATGGTACATATCTCTTATCCTAGCATTCAGAAGGTGAAGACAATAAGATAAAAAAAAAAAATTCAAGGTCAGCCAGGTAGTGGTGGCGCACGCCTTTAATCCCAGCACTTGGGATGCAGAGGCAAGCAGATCTCTATGAGTTCCAGGACAGTCTGGTCTATAGAGCTAGTTCCAGGACAGCCAGGGCTACACAGAGAAACCCTGTCCAAAAAATAAAACAAAACAAACAAAATCCTCAAGGTCATCCTGTGCTACATGGTGAGTTGGAGGAAGATGGAGGTCAGCCTAGGCTGTATGAAACCCTGTCTTTAAAAACACAAGCAAGGAAGAAAAGAAACCAATCATTTGGGGATAGCTAAAGGAGACCAGAGATGAGAGTAGGGTACACATGAGATGGCAAGAAGGGTCTGCGGCAAGAAGGGACAGTGTTTGAGATGGGCCCTAGAGAAGGACTGGAGTTTGACAAGGAAGGGAATAATCTGAGTATTAGGAAGCAGCTGAGATGTGGGTGAGGGAGATGCTAGATGACAGAAGGTGGCCCTGAGCAAGCATCCCCATCACACAGCAGTGCTGTGAGGAGGAAATGACTGTGGGAGATAGGTTTGGATCCCTGGAAAAAGGGAGAGGAAAAGAGGAAAACTGAGCCCTCTTCCCTGACAGCAGGAGCTCCCTCGACCACAGTCTCCCTCGGATCTGGACAGCTTGGATGGGCGCAGCATTAATGATGATGGCAGCAGTGACCCTAGGGACATAGATCAGGATAACCGAAGCACATCCCCCAGCATCTACAGTCCTGGAAGTGTGGAGAATGACTCCGATTCATCTTCCGGCCTGTCCCAGGGCCCAGCTCGTCCCTACCACCCACCTCCACTCTTTCCTCCTTCCCCTACACCGCCAGACAGCACTCCCCGACAGCCAGAGCCTGGCTTTGAACCCCATCCTTCTGTGACACCTACTGGATATCATGCTCCAATGGAGCCACCGGCATCTCGATTATTCCAGGGGCCACCTCCTGGAGCACCTCCCCCACACCCACAGCTCTACCCTGGGAATGCTGGTGGAGGAGTTTTAACTGGACCCCCTATGGGTCCCAAAGGGGGAGCAGCTGCCTCTTCAGTGGGTGCCCCTAGTGGAGGCAAGCAGCATCCGCCACCCACTACCCCAATTCCAATATCAAGCTCTGGGGCCAGTGGTGTCCCTCCCACAAAAACACCTAATGCTCCAGTGGGTGGGGGGAACTTACCTTCTGCTCCACCCCCGGCCACTTTCCCCCACGTGACACCAAACCTGCCTCCTCCACCCGCCCTGAGACCCCTCAACAATGCCTCAGCCTCTCCTCCTGGCGTGGGGGCTCAGCCAATCCCTGGGCATCTGCCCTCTCCCCATGCCATGGGTCAGGGCATGAGTGGACTTCCTCCTGGCCCAGAGAAGGGTCCAACTCTGGTTCCCTCACCCCACCCTTTGCCCCCCGCTTCTTCTTCCTCTGCCCCTGGACCCCCAATGCGGTACCCATATTCATCCTCCAGTGGCTCTGCAGCAGCTTCTAGTTCCTCCTCCTCGTCTGCCTCCCAGTACCCAGCGTCCCAGGCTCTGCCCGGTTACCCTCATTCCTTCCCTCCACCAACAAGTATGTCTGTCTCTAATCAGCCACCCAAGTATACCCAGCCTTCTCTCCCATCCCAGGCCGTGTGGAGCCAGGGTCCTCCACCACCTCCTCCCTATGGCCGCCTCTTGGCCAACAACAACACCCATCCAGGCCCTTACCCTCCTACTGGGGGCCAATCCACAGGCCACCCACCAGCCCCCACACATCACCATCACCAGCAGCAGCAGCAGCAGCAGCAGCAGCAGCAACAACACCATCATGGAAACTCTGGGCCCCCACCACCTGGAGCGTATCCTCACCCCCTAGAGAGCGGTAGCTCCCATCACGCACACCCTTATAACATGTCACCCTCCCTGGGGTCTTTGAGGCCCTACCCACCAGGGCCAGCGCACCTGCCTCCACCTCATGGCCAGGTGTCCTATAGCCAAGCAGGTCCCAATGGCCCCCCGGTTTCCTCCTCTTCCAACTCTTCTTCGGGCTCTTCCTCTCAAGCCTCCTACTCATGTTCACACCCCTCCTCATCCCAGGGTCCCCAAGGGGCAAACTACCCCTTCCCACCAGTTCCTCCAGTCACCACCTCCTCAGCTACTCTCTCTACTGTCATCGCCACCGTGGCTTCCTCGCCAGCAGGCTACAAGACGGCCTCGCCACCGGGGCCCCCGCAGTACAGCAAGAGAGCCCCATCCCCGGGGTCCTACAAGACCACCACCCCGCCTGGATACAAACCGGGGTCACCGCCCTCCTTCAGAACAGGGACCCCACCTGGCTTTCGGGGCGCCTCTCC